CCCTCTAAACTCCCTCTCCAAACTCTCCTGTTAGCTGTTCCTGGTCACTGAGTCACAGGCTTATATAGCTCTGGTAGCCCCTCCCCCTGACTAAGGCTCAGCCAATTAACAGAGGCTTCTAGATTTCAAACCTTTTAGAAGCTCCTTCAAACAAACAAACAAACAAACCAAACAGACAAACACCAGCTCAGCACACAGCAAATAACTCCCCCACACAGAAACACACACTCCAGACAGCCACTTACCACAAGGGCCCCGTTTTTACTCCTCTTTTACCTGGAGAACTCCCTCTCCAAACTCTCCTGTTAGCTGTTCCTGGTTGCAAGCTCCCTGGTCGCTGAGTCACAGGCTTATATAGTTCTGGTAGCCCCTCCCCCTGACTGAGGCTCAGCCAATTAACAGAGGCTTCTAGATTTCAAACCTTTTAGAAGCTCCTTCAAACAAACAAAGCAAACAAACAAACCAAACAAAAAAACACAAGCTCAGCACACTGCAAATAACTCCCCCACACACAAACACACATTCCAGACAGCCACTTACCGCAAGGGTCCCGTTTTCTTCTCTTTTACCTGGAGAACTCCCTCTCCAAAAAAAAGGCACAAAACGTGCTCAGTCCAGCTAGAGCCATCAAGGGTAACAAGAAAGCCTTCTATAAATATATTAGAAGCAAGAGGAAGACTAAGGACAGGGTAGGCCCACTGCTCACTGAAGAGGAAGAAACAACAGGAAACTGGCAGAGGTGCTTAATGACTTCTTTGTTTCAGTCTTTACCAAGAAGTTTGATGATGATGGGATGCCTAACATAGTGAATGCTAGTGGAAATGGGGTAGGTTTAGAAGATAAAATAAAAAAAGAACATGTTAAAAATCACTTAGAAAAGTTAGATGTCTTCAGGTCCTCAGGCCCTGATGAAATGCATCCTAGAATACTTAAGTAGTTGATAGAGAAGGTCCACTGCTCAGAGCCTTTAGCTATCATCTTTGAAAAGTCATGGAAGTCAGGATCGATTCCAGAAGATGGGAAAAGGGCAAATATAGTGCCCATCACTAAAAAGGGAAATAAGAACAACCCAGGAAACTACAGACCAGTCAATTTAATTTCTGTGCCAGGGAAGATAATGGAGCAAGTAATTAAGGAATTCATCTGCAAACATCTGGAAGATAATAAGGCGATAGGTAACAGCTAGTATGGATTTGTAAAGAACAAATCACGTCAAACCAATCTGATAGCTTTCTTTGATAGGATAATGAGTCTTGTGGTTAAGGGAGAAGCGTTGGACGTGGTATACTTAGACTTTAGTAAGGCATTACATACAGACTCACATGATATTCTTATCAATAAACTAGGCAAATACAACTTAGATGGGGCTACTATAAGGTGGCTACATAATTGGCTGGATAACCATTCTCAGAGAGTTATTAACAGTCCACAGTCATTCTGGAAGAGCATAACAAGTGGGGTTCACAGGGTTCGGTTTTGGGATCGGTTCTGTTCAATATCTTCATCAACGATTTAGATCAGTCCACAGTCATTCTGGAAGAGCATAACAAGTGGGGTTCACAGGGTTCGGTTTTGGGATCGGTTCTGTTCAATATCTTCATCAACGATTTAGATGATGGCATAGAGGGTACGATTATTAAGTTTGCAGATGATACCAGGCTGGGAGGGGTTGCAAGTACTTTGGAGGACAGGGTCATAATTCAAAATGACCTGGACAAACTAGAGAAATGGTCTGAGATAATTAGGATGAAGTTTAATAAGGACAAATGCAAAGCCCTCCACTTAGGAAGGAACAATCCGTTTCACACATGCAGAATGGGAAGTGATTGCCTAGGAAGGAGTACTGCAAAAAGGGGTCATAGTGGACCACAAACTAAATACAAGTCAGCAGTGTGACACTGTTGCAAAAAAAGCAAACATCATTCTGGGATGCATTAACGGGAGTGTTCTGAGCAAGACACAAGAAGTCATTCTTCCACTCTACTCTGCGCTGATTAGGCCTCAGTTGGAGTATTTGTGTCCAGTTCTGGGCACCACATTTCAAAAAAGAAGTGGAGAAATTGGAGAAGGTCCAGAGAAGAGCAACAGAAATGATTAAAGGTCTAAAGAACATGAGCTATGAAGGAAGGCTGAAGGAATTGTTTTCAGGTATCTAAAAAGGTGTCTCAGGGAGGAGGGGGGGAAATTGTTCGCCTTGGCCTTTGATGACAGGACAAGAAGCAATGGGCTTAAATTGCAGTGAGGGAGGTTTAGGTTGGACATTAGGAAAAACTTCCTACCTGTCAGGGTGGTTGAACACTGGAATAAGTCGCTTAGGGAGGTTGTGGAATCTCCATCTCTGGAGATATTTAAGAGCAGATTGAACAGACACCTGTCAGGGTAGGTGGTACTTGATTCTGCCATGAGGGCAGGGGACTGGACTTGATTATCTCTCGAGGTCCCTTCCAGTACTAGTATTCTATGATTCTATGGGTACGTCTAGACTACATGCCTCTGTCGCCAGAGGCATGTAGATTAGGCTATCAGACATAGTAAAATGAAGCGGCGATTTAAATAATCGCCGCTTCATTTAAATTTACATGGCTGCCGCGCTGAGCCGACAAACAGCTGATCAGCTGTTTGGCACAGGTGGCGATCGACCTCCCCGGTAAACCTCATCCTACGAGGCATAACGGGGAGGTCAGTAAAGGGCTTTCAGGTCGGCGCGGGAGTGTCCAGACTAGCACGCTGAGCCGACAAACAGCTGATCAGTTTGTCGGCTCAGCGCAGCAGCCATGTAAATTTAAATGAAGCGGCGATTATTTAAATCGCCGCTTCATTTTACTATGTCTGGTAGCCTAATCTACATGCCTCTGGCAACAGAGGTATGTAGTCTAGACGTACCCTATAAGGCAGACAGGAGATTTTGTAAATGGACTGACTGCTCAGTGCGTAAGGAACACACTACTTACTATGCTGCAGGCTGGGAATGGGTTGCTTTATTTGACTCCATAGCAGAGTGGGGGAAACACCCACTAACAAATCAGGAAGAAAGGGTGGGGTGGAGGATGGCTCCAATCTGTAATATTCTGAGTGACCCAGTAAACACTGGATCAACCACTTTACTACAGCCAACTCTTACAATACGAGATGCTTTTCTTACAGCCTCAGCTCCTGGAGTCCTGTGACTTCCCAGATTTTGTGTTTTAAGAAGCAAGTTTCTTGCCACGATGGTTGCAGAGAATAGCTGGGAAACATGACCTGAATGCACCAGTCCGGAAGGCTCAGAAATCAGAAGGCACAGCAAAAAAAGACCATTGTTATTTTGAAAAATCACATATTTGTAAAGCCAATCTCATATATTTGGGGGATGCCAGACTCAAGATTTCATAATGTATGAGGCTGACACAACTGGGAGAGAGAGAGAGGCCAAACTAAGTGACAGAAAGATACAGTTCTGTGTCTATCCAGCCCTTAACACAGAGGGGCCCTGGTCCAGGACTGGGGTTGTATACAATACACACAGTAAATACAGTAGGATCTCGACTTTACGAACACCCATCTTATGAACAACCAATTACACAAACTGTTCTTCCTGAAGAGGAAAAAAAAAATCACATAACAAAAGTGATGCTGAGGAACAAAAAGTCGACATCCTTTCCCATTCCGGAACCTCCAGTGCATTGGAAATTGTTTTGCTGCAGTTTGAAGACAAGAAGAAAGCGAAGTGGTGCCCCATACTGCATCGGACCTACGGTAAGCGTTGAGATCTTCTGCTTTATGCCCCTATTGAATTTCTGAACTCCTCAGTCCCCAGCTAGTTTGTAAAATAAGGCTTCTGCTTGTAATAATAACAATGCAGCTGAAAGAGACATGGACGGAAACGCACAGATAGCTAGATAAGGGGCGTAGGTGGGAATAGATGGGTGTGCAGGGGAACAGCTAGCTAGATGTGTGTGCACAGGGTTAGCTAGCTAGATGCCTGCACCTGGGGATGAATGAAGAGAGAGAGAGAGAGAGAGAGATTTGTGCATATGGGGATAGATATAGGTAGGGGTAGCTAGCTGTGTGTGCCTGCGAATGGGATAGATAGATAGATAGATAGATAGATAGATAGATAGATAGATAGACATTGTCTGTCTGTCTGTCTATGAGGACAGCTAGCTTGCTGTGTGTACCCGGCAAAGGGCCGCTAACTAGCTAGCAGCGCATATGATAGGTACATGGGGACCACAGCAGTACATGGCTAGATGTCTGGGGATATGGGGACCAAGCAGAGCCAGATAGGCTGCTAGCGGGAAGCAACTCAGCCACACACCCCAACC